AACGACGGATGAATGCGAGCGACCACCTCGTGCCACCTTTGTGCATATTCCTTGACCGTTTCTCTTGGCCCTTCTCCATCCCTTGGAGATCCGATCTATTCGAGTGCTTACCTCCATGTTGAACTTATATCTGCTTGAGAAAAACATTCGTTAAATCCTTCCACCTTCAAATCTTCGACCCTTCTAACCTCATGTACCAACTCAAAGCTAAACCTCTCAAGCTCTCATGAAAGAAATGGATTAGCGAGCTTCTCGTCATGGACCACTACGCCATCTTGCTATAGTAAACCCTCGAGTGGGTCATGGGACACTCGGGTTTCGTGTACTTGGGAAAATATGGCACCTTGAACTTCTTTGGAATCACTACATCGGGTACCAAACACATTTCGGAGGCCCTAATCGGATCGTAGGCATCCTCCCCCTCCATTGCTCTTAAGCGTTCTTCTAATGCCATGAGTCTATCTATACTTGGGCCTTCCACCACCCTAGGCGCATGAGCTTCTTCTTCTGCGGGATCTGCTGGAGGCATTTGTGAGACTCTTGGGTCCATGGGGTAAGCAAATGTCCCGGCGGGGTGTGAACCTTCGGCATGAACGGTTGCACGATTGGAAGGCCCGGACCGATGAGGCGACGAAACGGCATGATGTATTTCGAGTTGTCCTCGATTCAAGCTACCTCCCCTCTTAATGCTTGCTCTAACGGGGATGTCATCCGAGCCACACTTTCTTTCAATGTGTCAAACTCTTGCTAGCTAATTGGCTTTTGTCATGGTCTTTCTTCGTTCTCTATTTGGCGAGCCCTAAATCGAGTGTTGTAGACACACGAAGGGGATTGAGCGGGAGCGGCCTATGTTTAATTCCTGGAAAATATACACAAAGCATATATACATAAATACTAGATGCAAATGCATGCTTTTGAATTGGGTCGAATACCTTTCTTTTATTTGTTGCACATTAAATCATGACGGAATCTTGTCGAGGACGGGTCGGATCAAGCTAGTACTCGTTGAAGGCAAAATTACCCCACGGATACTTGGGCGATTAGGGAGATATGAATTGCTCAAATTTCAATTGTGATTTGGATCTTGAAACCGTCTCATCGTAATCTGGATCTTGAAACTATCTTATTAACGACCCAAAAAATAAAATAGAAATAATATTTTTATTACAATCCAAATCTTTAACACATTCTAAATGTGATTGATTACAATAAGATAAAAGCCCTATTACATAGAAAATCCTATTCTAAGTTTGGCCACGAGACCTAAGCCTTCATAGGAAATCATGCCATTTATGAGCCTTCGGAGCTTCTTGTAAAATAGTTGAATCGCTTCATCTTCAGGCGAATGCCTTCAATTAGGAGCTCTATAGTGTTTCACATTCCTAAAGCATAGTCTTTAGCATTTTGAGCTTGTAAATGATACTTCATGGTTCTACTTCCCCACTCGGCAGCTTCCTTTCTTAAGGCATCCCTTTCTTTTATCATTGTTCGCATAGCCATGGCGTGCTTCTCTCTAGATCCGACCGGTCGCTCTTGGTTGACCCTATCTTTCTTTTCAATTCCTCCACTTGAGTACCCAAATGACGTATTACATCCGATTGGTTAGCCATACGTGCTCGTGTCGTGTCTCTAAATTCCATGAGGTTATCCTTCTCAACTCTAAGCTTTTCAACAACTTCTTTTGTCGAGTTGGAGTTGCCTACGAAGCTTCTTGTTTTCTTCCTTTAAAGCCTTCATCACATGGTCTTTAGTATCCAGAATCTCCTCTAACTTCCTCTTCTTTTGAGCTAGTCCAATCACTTGAGCATTTAGGTCTTCATTGAGTATCTCATGTTGGGCATTCACTTCTTGGTGAACATCCTCCATTGTCTCCTTCACCAATTGAGATGGGCCCTCGAATGGTGGCACACGATATCCCTTCCCTCTAGTGCTTTGCCATTTTGGATATCTAGGTGAGATTCTTCCATCCACTCTTCTTTCGGGAGTGACAATCCCTCTATTTCTCCAAGCAATCCTAGCTTCCTCTAAGAACTTTTTAGAGACCCTCGGATCCTCATAATATTCGTTTAAACCAATCGTCCTTGGGATGAATTGCTCGAACCCCAATTGCCTCAAAAAAATGTTTGGACGATGGTCGATGCAACAACGAGCTCCAATTAGTGGCACCCAAGGAAATTTGCCACGAAAGGCTGTGTAACTCCAAAAGAAGGCATATCGTGCTCTCCAATGAAATTTCAACTTCTTCAAGCCGAAGAATAATTCGGCCCACATTGTCTTACCCAACTCGTTGAGGGCGTGACAAGCAAAATTCTCCAACCTAGAATGCAAGTGCCATGGGGTGCGAAAAATACCGGAGGCTCCCCGAGTCACCACATGGCTCACTATCCATACAAACAATAAGCGCACATGACACCTCAAATGCCCATCTCTTTTTCTTCGGTAGAAATTTAATGAAGAGAGAGTTTCTGCTAGGATTCTTTGCGGTGGGATTAACCTTCGGAGATACTACACTTTTAAATACATTGATTGCCTCAACGTCGATCATGCTTTCGGTTGATGGTAATAACACTAACCCATATATTGCTAGTGCCAAGATTCGAAGTCGACTTGATTATCATCATCTTGTAAATGCTTCATGAATTTCGCTTGAAGGACATCCCAAAACCAACCTTGAGATTTACCCTTTGGGTTAGTTGCTTCTTGGCTAAAGTGGTGTTAGTCCTAATCAACCATGCAAAATTTGATGGAGCATGTTCGGTGGATTGTAGAAGTAGACGGCGTACTGTCTTGGGAAATGCTAGCGAGCCTCATATTCCTCGAGTGTAGGTGATAGGTCTACACTCCCAAAGGTGAAACAACGATAATGCTGGATCCCAATGGCCTATCATGGCTTGAAAGCATGCGATGCTGGGCCTTGATCTTGAGCGAGATAAGCTATGTCCCCATATGTTTTCCGAAAATCAAGTTGGTGCTTGGAAGTGAGCATCTCCTAACAACTAAGAAGCGGATCGGTGTTGGCCATCCTGTCGGCCAACTTAACCCTTTCGGTAGTTTCGACATGAAATTCGAAGGCGTACAATCTCCTTCCTCATTTTGGGCCCACTCATATCGACCCTAAAATCCTCGACCTCATTTCGATTTCTTCGTCATGATTTAATATGACGGATAACCTGTAAAACCAAAGGTTAGTATCATCATTTACTTGATAATAATTCGTGTCTTAATCGAGTCAACCCTAACGGATAGGATCTAGCTTTTTTATGGTTGGGCTAAGTTTGACTAGCCCTAATGATTTTTCAAGTCTCTAGACTTCCTAAATTATCAGTGGGGTAATCTAGCCTCTAACCTTATACGTTAGGAGGTAGGGGAAGATTAGTCCACCATTTCCAATGTATAGGGTGAGTTTCGGTCTAAACGAGAGTTTGGAAGAGCATCGGTAGACTTTCATCATACTCGCCTCCAAATCCCTCTATCTAATTCCTATTAGGGTTCGGCTCGGGTCCGAGCTTTTAGGGTTTCCTTCATGGTGTGTGCAACGGTTAAAAGAAAAAGCATTCGGCCCAATTCAAAATAAACGTGCGGCAAAAAAGGAGAAAATAAATAAATGATAAAATTTTAAATATATACACAAATAAATAAATAAATAAAATTTAGAAAATAAAATGACAAAAAATAAACATAGGAGATAAATTAAAAACAAAACCTATGGCCTAACTCTAGTCCCCGATGGAGTCGCCATTACGTCAGCTACACGACGTCGAACGGGACCCCACAAAAGAAAAATTAAGTAGTTCGGGCATTAATTAATTACAAGATTATTTACGGATTTTTGGAGTCGCCACCTAGTATTTAAGGAACTAGGAACCTAAAAGTAGCACTGGTTCATAGATTCCTAAGGTAAGGAGTTGGTTACGCTTTTAGGAAGATATTTAATCACCTAAAAGCGCCCATTTTCGAAAAAAGGTACCATGTACGATTTAATTCTAAATTATCTCCTAAAATCCATGTCAATCTATTTTCTAAATTTTAATCTCCTATTTTCTTTTAGACTAAGTGAATTTTTTTAGTTTTGGGCGTGACATCATATTGAAACGTTCGTCGGTCCCCTTCGTTGGGTGACACGTGGATTCAAACATCGGATCCACTAAAAGCCTCGACACAACCGATGTGTTGGAGGACGTCTTAATTAAAAGTGTTTTTGATGACGTCGGCCCTTATCAAATAGGAGGCTTCGTCGAAATTTTTAGGCCTTTTTTTTTACGATGTCGGTCTCATCGGATAGGAGACTTCGTTAAGATTTTTTTTAAAAAAAACAATGTATATTAAAAAAAATAAAAAATTGAAATAGCATTTCTAAATTAATATAAAAAAACGACAAGGAATAAAAATAAACGAGGCTAAAAAAATTAATAAATCATAAAAGAAAAAAAATCATCCTATATAAATAGGTTAAAAAATAAATGAACAATAAAAGTAAAAAAAAAAAAAAATTCCTATACCTAAAATATTAACCCACCACTTTTACTTTTTTTTTTTTTTACACCCATCCCAATTTTTTCCTTTTTTCTTCTTATTTTTTTCTTCCCTAATTCTATTTTTATTTTTTCATTTCCCTTTTTATTTTTTGAAGAAAGGGTGCGGTCGGGCCCCTTTTATTTTCTTTTTTCTCGCCTCGGGTTGGTGGATTTCTTTTTTTTTTTTTTGGGTAAAGGGTGCAAGTGGCTGAAATCAGCCTAACCCCTTTTCTTTTTTCTTTTCTCGGGTCGAGTCGGACCTCAAGCCCGAAAACAAGCCCGCGCGCCCCTCTTTTTTATTTTTTGGATCAAAAACCAAGATTTTTTAGTTTTCAACCTTTCTCTCTCCGTTCTTCATGTTCTTCGTTTTTTTCCTAATTCTTCAAATCTTCGAAACTACAATGCTATCCGATTAAATGACTCAATTAAATAACATACAATCTTTTCCTCCATTAAGGCTTAATTCAAAGAAAACAACTTAAATAGGTGACTAACAAAACTAAGGAAAGCAATAATCGAAATCGGAACCAAGGAACCGACACCGGAAATTGGATGAACAGCTCAAGAACACAAACCGAGAAAACCCAACAATTCGAGCGAGGAATTCACAATCTCGAAATCGAAAACCCGGGAAGCGAGAGCTACTTATGGATAGCGAAAATTTGTCTTCGAGAAACCAACACAAAGAAAGAAAAAGGAAACCAATTTGAAGAACTGGAAACCAAAGTGTATGAACATGATGAACATAAACCTAGAAAAACCCGGAAGAAAAAAACTCGACTACCCAAAATTAAAATTGATTCTTTTGCTTTCAATCTTTGAACTCTCTCTACTCGAATTGTTCGCCCCCAAAAAAACCTCCTACTTTCTATGAAAATCAAACGTTTTATAGCCAACAAATTTCCTAAAATTGAAACGAAATCCACGAATTTTTCGCAAAAATTTTTCTCTTTAATTCATGATTAATTGTGAAATCAAAACAGGAAATTCTTATTGATTCTCATTCATCGTTGGTTTCGGCAACAAAATCCATGATTAATACACAATCAAAAATACAAAATTCATGGAGGATTTGGGTAGATTCTCCCAAAGATTTTTGGAAAGAATCGCCTTGGAGTAAACGACGGGTCGTTTGCTCCATTTCGATCCTATCGTTCACTCTAAACTTCCAATTTGGTCCTCGAGTTTCAATTTCAGCAATTACGCCCCTCTGCAAAATAATTTCGGTGTAATCTCAACAATTAGGTTCCCGGAGATGCAATTTAAGGCCTAAACTTTTCAATTGACTCGATTACAACCCTAATTACTTCAATTGCACCCCTAAATGAAATTTTTTTTGTTTTTTTTTCATCATTTTCTTTCCTTTTTTTTCTTTTTTTCTTAATAAAATTCAAATTAAAAACAAAAAATAATAAAATAAATAAATAAATAACAAAAAATAAATAAAATAGAAAATAAAAAATAAGAAAATAAGAAAATAAGAAAATTTTGGGTTATTACAATTTTGAGGGCCTAAACTATATTTTTTTACCACAATCACTCATAGGTCATGACTTATAGCGATGAGTTTTGGTCGTCGGCCCGTTTTGCAACGAACTAGGTCCGGAAAGCTCAAACCTAGCGGGACGGTTTTTCGTCAATTTTTATTGCACTCACACCGTTTTAGGTATTCTAAGTCCAGATTGGCCCGAATCTTCTTGAAGAACCATGAAGGATGATTTTCGGGGCCTAAACTACATTTTTGTTTTACCAAAAATCACTTTTAGGTCATGGCTTATAGCTATGAGTTATGGTCGTTGGCCGTTTCACACCGAACAGAGTTAAACCTAGCATGATAGTTTTTCATCGGTTTTATCGCACTCACATCGTTTTTCGTATTCGAAGTCCAGTTCACCTTAATCTTCTTGAAAAACCATGAAGGATGATTTTGAGAGCCTAAACTACATTTTTGTTTTTTACCAAAATCACTCCTAGGTCATGGCTTAAAGCGATGAGTTTTGGTTGTTAGCCGTTTCGCATCAAACTAAGTCCAAACGGACTTAAACCTAGCACGATAGTTTTTCATGAGTTTTTTCGCACTCACACCGTTTCATGTATTCCAAGTCCGAGTTGGCTCGAATTTTCTTGAACAACCATGAACGATGATTTTGAGAGCCTAAACTACATTTTTTACCAAAATCACCATAGGTCATGGCTTATAGTGATGAGTTTTGGATTTTGGCCCGTTTCACATCAAACTAAGTCCAAACTGACTTAAACCTTGCAAGATAGTTTTTCATCATTTTTTTATCACACTCACATCGTTTTACGTATTCTAAGTCCAGTTGGCCCAAATCTTCTTGAAAAAACCATGAAGGAAGATTTTGAGGGCCTAAACTATATTTTTTTACTAAAATCACTCATAGGTCATGCCTTATAGCAATGAGTTTTGGTTGTTGTCCTGTTTCGCATCAAACTAGGTCCAAACGGACTCAAACCTAGCACGACGAGTTTTTCATGAGTTTTTATCACACTCACATCGTTCCACGTATTTGAGGTCCAGTTGGCCCGAATCATCTTGAAAAACCATGAAGGATGATATAAAGGGCCTAAACTATATTTTTTTACCAAAAATCACTCTTAAGTCATGGCTTATAGTTACGAGTTTTAGTCGTTGGCCCATTTCGCATCGAATAGCTTAAACCTAGTACGATAGTTTTTCGTCAATTTTATTGCACTCACACCGTTTCACATATTCCAAGTCCAGGTTGGCTCGAATCTTCTTGAAAAACCACGAAGGATGATTTTGAGGGCCTAAACAATATTCTTTTTACCAAAATCACTCATAAGTCATGGCTTATAATGATGAGTTTTGATCGTTGGCCTGTTTCACCTCGGACTAGGTCCAAACAACTCAAGCCTAGCATGATAGTTTTTCATTAGTTTTTATCGCACTTACGGCGTTTCACGTATTCAAAGTCTAGTTGGCTCGAATCTTCTTGAAAAACAATGAAGAATGATTTTGAGGGCCTAAACTATATTTTTTACCAAAATCACTCATAGGTCATCCCTTATAGTGATGAGTTTTGGTCATTGGCCCGTTTTGTTTCGAACTAGGTCCAAATAGCTCAAACATAGCATGACAGTTTTTCATCAACTTTTATCGCACTCACAATGTTTCACGTATTCTAAGTCCGATTCGCCCAAATCTTCTTGAAAAACCATGAAGGATTATTTTGATGATCTAAACTATATTTTTTTACCAAAAATCACTCATAGGTCATGGCTTATAGCTATGAGTTTTGGTCATTCGACCGTTTCACACCGAATAGCTTAAACCTAGCATGATAGTTTTTATCGGTTTTATCGCACTCACACCGTTTCACGTATTCCAAGTCCGAGTTGGCTTGAATCTTCTTGAAAAACCACGAAGGAAGATTTTAAGGGCCTACACTATGTTTTTTTTTTACCAAAATCACTAATAAGTCATGGCTTATAGCGATGAGTTGTGATCATTGGCTGTTTCACCTCGGACTAGGTCCAAACAGCTCAAACCTAGCACGACAGTTTTTCATCAATTTTTATCGCACTCACACCATTTCACGTATTCTAAGTCCAATAGACCTTAATCTTCTTGAAAACCCATGAAGGATTATTTTGAGGTCCTAGACTACATTTGTTTACCAAAATCAACGATAGGTCCCGGCTTATAACGATGAGTTTTGGTCGTTTGCCCGTTTCACATCGAATTAGGTCTAAAGAGCTCAAACCTAGCGCGATAGTTTTTCATCGGCTTTTATTTCAATCACATCGTTCCACATATTTTAAGTCCATTTGGCCCGAATCTTCTTGAAAAACTATGAATGGTGATTTTGAGGGCCTAAACTATATTTTTTTACCAAAATCATTCATAGGTCATGGCTTATAGCGATGAGTTTTAGTCGTTAGCCCATTTTGCATGGAACTAGGTCTAAACAGACTTCAAACCTAGTGTGACGAGCTTTTCATCGGCTTTACCACACTCACACCGATTCACATATTTCAAGTCTAGTTGGCCTAAATCTTCTTGAAAAAACCATGAAGGCTAATTTTGAGGGCCTAAACTATATTTTTTTACCAAAATAACTCATAGGTCATGGTTTCTAGCTATGAGTTTCCCTTGTTGGATTGTTTTGCATCGAAATAGGTCCAAATAGCTCAAACCTAGCATGATAGTTTTTCGTCGCGTTTTATGGCACTTGAACCGTTTCACGTATTCCATATCCAAGTTCGCTCGAGTGTTCTTAAAACACCATGAAGGATGATTTTGAGGGCTTAAACTATAATTTTTACCGAAATCACTCATAGGTCAAGGCCGATAGCGAGGATTTTTATCGTTGGCATGTTTCATATCGAACTAGATGCAAATAGCTCAAAACTTGGTCGATAGTTTTTTTTTAGTTTTTATTGCTCTCATACCGTTCGACGTATTCCAAAACCAGGGTTGCTTGTATCTTCTTGAAAAATAATGAATGCTGATTTTCGGTGGCTTAAACTATATTTTTTGACCAAAATAACTCATAGGTCATGGCTTATAGCGATGAGTTTTGGTCGTTGGCCCGTTTCACATTGAACTAGGTCCAAACGGCTCAAACCCAAGACGATCGTTTTTTGTCGGCTTTTTTCGCACTCACACCGTTTCACATATTCTAAGTCCAAGCTTGGCTCGAATCTTCTTGAAAAACCATAAAGAATGATTTTGAGGGCTTAAACTAAATGTTTTTACCAAAATCAATCATAGGTCATGGCTTATAGCGATGAGTTGGCTCGAATCTTCTTGAACAACCATGAAGGATGATTTTGAGGGCCTAAACTACATTTTTTACCAAAATCACTCATACGTCATCGTTTATAGCGATGAGTTTTGGTCATTGGCCCGTTTCGAATCGGATTGGGTCCAAAGCTGTTCAAACCTAACGAATAGTTTTTTAACATTTTTTATCGTACTCACATCGTTTCACGTATTCAAAGTCCAATTGGCTCGAATCTTCTTTAAAAATCATGGAGGATGATTTAAAGAGCCTAAACTACATTTTTTTACCGAAATCACTCATAGGTCATGGCTTATAGCCGTGAGTTTTGGTCGTTGGCCCGTTTCGCACCGAACGAACTTAAACCTTGTATGATAGTTTTTTGTCAATTTTTATCGCACTCACACCGTTTCACGTATTCCAAGTGTAGTTGGCTCGAATCTTCTTAAAAAACCACAAAGGATGATTTTGAGGGCCTAAACTACATTTTGTTACCAAAATCACTCATAAGTCATGGCTTATAACGATGAGTTTTGCTCATTAGCCCGTTTTGCCTCGGACTAGATCTAAACGAGTCTCAAACTTAGAACAAACGTTTTTCATTAGTTTTTATCGGACTCACATCGTTTCACGTATTCTAAGTCCAGATTGGCTCGAATATTAAAAACCATAAAGGATGATTTTGAGGGCTTGAACTATATTTTTTTACCAAAAATAACTCATACGTCATGGCTTATGGCAATGAGTTTTGGTTGTTGGCCCATTTCGCATCGAACTAGGTCCAAACAACTTAAACCTAGAAAGATAGTTTTTCGTCGATTTTTATTGCACTTGCACCGTTTCACGTATTCCAAGTCCGAGCTTCACCCGAGTGTTCTTGAAACACCATGAAGGATGATTTTGAGGGCTTAAACTATATTTCTTTTATAGAAAGCACTCATAGGGCAAGGCTTATAGCG